CATCATCATCATCATCATCATCATCATCATCATCATCGTCGTCGTCGTCATCATCATCGTCGTCGTCGCCGTCGTCGTCCTCGTCGTGGTCCTCGTCCCTCGTCGTCGTCATCCTCATCATCAGCAGCAGCATCATCGTTATCGTAGTCGTCATCATCATCATCATCTCAAACAACCATTATCAACATCATCAGCATCATCAGCATCATCAGCATCATCAGCCTCACCATCACCATCATCATCGTCATCAGCAGCAGCAGCATCGTCACCTTCATTATCACCATCACTGGCATCATCGTAACTAAACCATAATAATCAACAATCCACCGCATCGACCCCATCGCTTATCCATGTTCTCTTCCCCTATTATTGTCCTGCTCCTCCTCCCCCCCTCCTCCTCCTCGCGCAGGAGGGGGGAAGGAGGAGGCGGAGGAGGAGGAGGAGGAGGAGCAGAAGCAGGAGCAGGAGAGGGAGATGAAAAGGAGGAGGCGGCGGAGAAAGAGGAGGAGGAGAAGGAGGAGGAGGAGCCGGAGGAGGCAGAGGAGGAGAAGCTCCGTAGACACCTTGGCTCCGGGATGTGCTCCGCCCGCGTTCGGCCGCGCGGGGCCCCGTGATGGCTCGGGACGCTGCCGCCGCCCCGCCCGCGGCGTGTGCACCGAGAGGAGGCGGAGGAGTCCCACGGCGCGCTCGAGGCGCTGCTGGAGCCCGTGCCTCCGCCGATGGGCTCGTGGCGAGGCTCCAGTCGGAGCTGGCTGGCGCCCCTGCGCGACTCGTCGCCGCCGAGGAAGCCCTGGACGCCCTCGTCGGGTGCGGGGAGGCCAGCCCTGTTGGCCAAACTGGACGGCCGAGACCCCCCAGACGCGCTGAGGCGCAGTGTGGCCCTCCACTCCGACGCCAAGAGGCCTCAACACCGCCGCGGCCAGCATCACGGCGTTGCGGCACGCCCAGCAGGGGCCTCGGCTTGCGGCTCGTGCGTCGACGGGTCATGGCAGGCCGTCGACTCTGCGCCCGGAGGCCGACGCCTTCGTCCCCGCGTCGGGCTGCTGGGAAATGCTGGATCCCCGGCCCGCATCCGCGCGCGGCAGCCGCTGCACGTGCGGGGCAGTCGTTTTCTCCTCCTCCTCCTCCTCCTCCTCCTCCTCCTCCTCCTCCTCCTCCTCCTCCTCCTCCTCCTCCTCCTCCTCCTCCTCCTCCTCTTCTCGTGTGTGCAGGAGCCGCTCGAGTCGCCGCTGCTGGAGGTGCCGATCGGGCCCCCACGGGGGGGGGGTCTGCCCTCCAGGGTGCCGCGGGTGCTGCCGAGGGCGCCGCGAAGCTCGGCCGTGGGCCAGGGGACGACACGACGTTGTGGAGAGCACGCGGCGCTGGAGGCTCGCTCCGTCCTGGAGACGGACACGGAGCAGCACTTTTTCTCGTGGGGGGGGAGCAGCTGCGGTCGTGGGGCAGCTCGGGAAGTTCGCCACGGGCCTTCCTGCGCGGGAGGCCGCGCCTCGACGCCGGTGCTGCAAATGCCGATGGTCAAGCTGGTGGGGCTGTTTCCGTCACTGCTTCGGGCCCCTTGCCCTGGGAGCCGCAGGGGCTGCCGCACGACCCTGGCGGAGGATTTCTTTGCGCTTGACTTCGGAGTGCCACAGTCTTGCATTCAGTGTGGAGGTCTGCGTGCACATATGTAGCGAGTGCGTTTCCTGCAAGTGGATGTTCTGCGTTCACAAATATATAGCGAGTGCGTTTCCTGCAAGTGGATGTTCTACCAATTCTGGCTTCTCGTCCGCTTCGGTGTTCTGGGTATTGGGCTTCTGCTGTGTGTTGCAGTGCGTCTTTGGCATTATTTGTTCTTCGCTCGGGGCTTCCTGGTGATGATTCCTCTCATTGTATGTGGCTGCCGCGAAGATCAAGTCGGTCTGCACCTCGTGGGGTTGTGCTTTATCTCAGTGTCTCCGTTGTGGGCGGCTTGCTTTGCAAGTTCTTCAGGACTGTCCGCAGCAGGCGTACTCTGTTTCGTGGCGCCTCGGCACGTCGCATCGTTCACGTGGGTCCTATCCTAGTTCCCCACGGTGCTGTTCGTCACGGCCTTCATGTGCACTGCACTCTTCTGGGGCATGTCCGTTGCTTGCAAGAGAGGAGGAGGAGAAGGAGGAGGAGGAGGAGGGTGCCAGCGCGCTCCAGGCAACGGCCCGCGTAGGGCGCTGCGTGCGCGTGCGAAGCCTCCGGGACCAGATCTCCCATCCCGAGACGCTCCCTGACGCTCCCGAGGCCATGGCGAGGACCCCCGGAGGCCCAAGATGGCCGGAGAAACCCCCCCCGCCGCCTCGCCGACCGCGTCTTCGCCCGCGGCCGCGCCCTCGCCGCGCGCGGCGTCCCTGCCGCCGCTCCTGCGCCGCCGGCACGCCCGGCAGGGCAGCTGCGGCGCGCTCCTGCGGCGCTTCTGCGGCGCCGCGCCGGCGGCCGCGGCCTCGCGCGCGGCCGGGCGGGCGGCCTCGCGCGCGGCGGCGCGGCGGCTTCTGCGGCGCGCGTGGCATGGCGGCGGGGGGGAACTGAGGGGGCCAGGCGGATGGTCCCTTAAAGCTTTCAAGGAGCGCAGGGCCGTCGGGGATCGCGCACGACGGTGCGCTCGCCCCCCGCGAGCAGCAGGCAGACGGAGACCTGCGCCGGAGGGGGGGGAGGGAAGGAGGAGGAGCAGGACGAGGACGGCGGCGACGAGGGCGGCGGCGTCGACGACGACGGCGGCGACGACGACGACGGCGACGACGACGGCGACGAAGGCGACGGCGACGGCGACGACGGCGACGACGAAGGCGACGGCGACGGCGACGACGGCGACGACGAAGGCGACGACCCCCACATCCGCTCGTCGCGAGAAAAGTCGCGCTGGGATGTCTTTCGGGACACCGTCGGGCTCTGGGGGCCCTCGACGGGCCCCAGGGCCGTCAGGAAGGGCTGGGATGGAGAGGCCGTCCCAGGGAAGGAAGGCTCAGACCTCCGGGGGCCCACGCGACAACAAAAAGAAAACAAAAAAAAAAAACGAGCTCGGAGTTCTGCGGACCCAGACATGCGATGTCCTGGGTTTCTGCAATGACTACCTACCAGACCACCCCAACCCAACCCGAAGACCCGAATTTCGGGTTGGGGGGGTAAGGGTTCCACACGTGTTTTTTCGATGGTCCCCGACCCCCCCCCACACTGGAAATGGATGGCAAATCGGGGCATTCGGGTTGGGTTGGGGTGGGTTGGTGGGTGGTGATGTAAGTTGGGGTCCCCGAAGTCCCGCCTCCCTCCCCAGGGCAGTTCTTTATCACGAGCCGCCGCTTGACGCCTTGAAATTGCGGAAACCAGCGCCTCGCCTGACACATCCTCAACGTTTGCTCCGAAAGCAAGATAAGGCAAACAAGCAAACCCTTCTGAGACATCCCCTCAATACGGGCGCGAACGGGCGAGTGTCATACCCTCTGGTGCCCTCCCTTGGGGGTGCTGAAACCAGCGCCTCGCCTGAGACATCTTCACAAACTGCTCCGCAAGCAAGAGGTGCTGGGCACGAGGACAGGCAACCGGCTGAGACGTCCCCACTATCTGGGCGCGAACGGGCCCGTGTCGTACCCCCTGGTGCTCCCCCTTGAGTGCAGAAACCAGCGCCTCGCCTGAGACATCCTCAAAATCTGCTCCGAACCCTTCGGAGTGCTAAAATAGTCTATGAGTCCGAGTAATATAAATAGATGTGTGTGTGTGTTTGAGTGAGAGTGAGTCTGGGTGTGAGTGAGTCTGAGCACGAGTGAGTCTGAGAATAAGTGAGTCTGAGTTTGAGTGAACCTGAGTGTGAGTGGGTCTGAGTGTGAGTGAGTCTGCGTTTGAGTCTGAGCGTGAGCAAGTCGGCGCACCAGTGAGTCCGAGCAAGAGTGAGCCCGAACACGCGGGAGCATGACATTGAGCCTGCGTGGCTCCGAATGGGGGGGGAGGAAAAAGAGGAGAAGGTGAGGAAGAGGCTCTCGGGAAGAATCCCACCGTAGGAGCTGGGAATACAGATCGCGCAGGAGACAAAAGCAACAGATGCACATCGCACGGTCCACGGGGCGAGGCCGGACGCGGGGCGCCGCGCTCTCGAGGAACTGCGGCCTCTCTCTCTCGGCCTCGCCCCCCGGCGCCGGGGGTCGTGCAGGAGGCGCGGGAGAGGCACGCGGCGCGGAAGAGGCCTCGGGCATTGGGAGGTGGACGTGCGAAGCCCCCTGCCGTGTGGTCAGGAGGACTCGTGTTCGGTCACTCCAGGTTTCGTAATTCAGGGAGGGGGGTCTCATTTCGGGGGGGGGGGGTCTCTTCCGGGCTATCTTGGAGGGCCTGGGGGGGTCTGGGGACGATGTTTTGGAGGGTTCTCCCACGGGGGGGGTCTGAAATGGCTTGTCTTGGAGGGTCCAGACCCCCTCCCTTTCATTACGAAATCTGGAGTACACGGGCCGCCGCGTGCACAGATGCTGTGGCCCCACGCCTCGGCCATGCCCACGCCTCTGCACGGACGCGCGCGCGGTGCGGCAGGAGCTCGTGCGTCAAGAGGACCGGTGGGCAGCTTCTTTTGAAGACGGGGGTGAAGGGGCCCCAGGACACACAAAGAAATACACACAAACAAAAAGATTCCCCATCTTTTCCTATATTTTCTGGGTTTCTGGCTTCCCCCCCCACTTCCCATATTTTCCCATATTTTCCTGGGAATCGACGATGAATTGTGTCTGTGTGTTTTTCCCCCTCCTGAGGGGGGGCTTCTGAGAATCCCCCCGGCATTCTTGCAAGACCGCCTGCTCCGCACGACCTCCTCCCGCGCGCCGCCGGAAGTATCACCACTTCCCCCCTCCCCAGTCTCTGGTGAGAGCATCTCCCCTCCCCCCGCCCCCTGGGGATCGACTCCGACAAGACCCGCGTCCGAGAGCTGGGGGTGGCCGTGCTTCCAAACAGCCGCATGGCCTGCTCCTCTTCGCACGGGCCCCCGACGAAGTGCGTCACCTGGGAAGCCCCAAGGCATGGGCCAATCCGATCCTCCTCCTCTTCCTCCTCCTCCTGCTCCTGCTCCTCCTCCTCCTCTTCCTCCTCCTCCTCCTCCTCCTCCTCCTCCTCCACATCGTCATCATCCTCACCATCGTCGCCCTCATACTCATCCTCATCCTCCTCACCCCCCGTTCTTTCCATGATCGAGCGCCGCATCCGACCAACGTCGGGCGCGGGGGACTGCGCGTCGGAGCGCACTGCGGAACACCAGACGGGCGACGAGGCCGGCGAGGTCAGGCCGGCCCGCCGCCGAGCGGCGCGGGGAGGCGGGCGGCGCCCCGTGGGCGAAGCTGCCTCCTGCAGTGCCTCCGCGGCCCCAAAGGGCCCGTGCACGGCCCCTCCTCCCACAATCAAAACGAGGACGAACCAAGGATCCAGCGCCTCTCTGCCGAGACTGTCGGGCGGGCTCCTCCACTGGAACTCCGAGCCCGCCAGAGGGGACTCCTTTGCACGGGCCCCTGATTCGCCATGCTTCTCATGGTCTCCCATGGCCCCGCCAATCGGGACCCCTTCTCATGCAAATTCAAAAGCCTCTAGGGCGATCGAAATCGAGACATAAGGTTGAGCGCCTGCCTTTCGAAACTGCCCGGTGAGTTCCAGGGCTGGGATTTCTTCTCGTGTGGCCCCCTAGTGGGATTCCTTCTCATGGGCCCCCCAAGTGGGAGTCCTTCTGATGGGCCCGCCAACATCACATCTTGCTTCTCGTGGAGCCCGCAAATGGCAGTATTTCTCATGGGCCCTCCATCCAGGATCACTTCTGGTGGGGCGCCCCAAATGGGATTCCTTGTCATGGGGCTGCCAATCGAGTTTCCATCCCATGGAGCCCGCCACTGGGCCACTGGGACCCCTTCTCGGGCCCAGCCCAAGAGGGCCCCTCGACCCCCAACACAAAGCCCCAGAAGGGCCCCAAGAGCAAGTGGCTCCGCGAGGACCCCACGAGAGACCCAAGATGGCTCCAAGAGACCTCAGAGAAAGCACTTCCAAGGCGCCTGTTACACTGCATGCTTCTGCACTTCCCTGATCAAGGCAACGCGCCTGGCGATCCGTTGCTGGGTCGGCGGGTGGGGATGACAAGAACTGAAGCGTCTCAACGACAGCCGCTGTTGCCAGACGCGCCGCCGGCAACGCCAGCCGGACCTTCGCGCGGAGGCGCCCCAAAGCGCCACGCTGCCGGGCCCCCGGGGCCCCGCCGCGCGCGGTCCAGCACCGCCTCCTCCCCCTCCCCCTCCTCCGCCTCCTCCTCCTCCTCCTCCTCCTCCTCCTCCTCCTCCTCCTCCTCCTCCTCCTCCTCCTCCTCCTCCTCCTCCTCCTCCTCCTCCTCCTCCTCCTGGAGATGGGACGGCCGCCAGAAGCGGAGGGCTGGGGGGGGGGACATCAGCTTGTCTGGTCGGCGGCCATGGGATTTCCAAGCGGCGGTAAAGCGGCGGCGGTAAAGCGCCGGAACACAGCTGGGCAGTGAAGAAGCGCGGGCACAGAAGGCTGGAGGCGACGCGGGAAGGGGTGCACACTCGGACCAGGAAGGCCGCCGCGCGCGTGCCGAAGAGCACATCCAAAAAGTGCGCGGCGGGGCGGCGTAAACAACCCATCTTGCAAGTTTCAACGACGCTCGACGCGCAGCAGGGCGCCCTCCCTGGCGGCAGGGGGCCGCTGGGAAGTCTGATCACACACCCCACCCAGCGGCGACGGCCACTGCCGCGGGGGATGGCGCAATCGGACGGGCACCCATGCCACCAGCTGTGAGCTCTGAAGAGGAGAGGAGGAGGAGGAGGAGGAGGAGGAAGAAGAAGAAGAGGAGGAGGAAGATGGAGGTAAGACGTGGAGGAGGAGGAGGAGGAGGAGGAGGAGGAGAAAGAGAAAGAGAAATAGGAGTATAATGGAGGAGGAGGAGGAGGAGAAGGAGGACGAGGAAGGGTGAGACGAAGCAGGGCAAGAGCAGGAGGGGCAGCAGCAGCAGCAGCAGCAAGGAGGACGGGGAAGGGGAGAGGGGGGCAGGGGGGCAGGAGGCGACCAGCGCGCGTCGCTGGGATTACCTCGTGGCGACCAGCGCGCGTCGCAGGGACTTCTCTGTTCGTCCCTCTGCGGGCGACGGGCTTGAATCTTGCGGGCGCGGGGGATGAGGGAATCCGCAGGAGGAGGCTCGATGATCCTCAAAACGTGTGTTAGCGCCAACGTGCGCTTGTCCGCCGAAGCCCTTCGGTACCACGCAGGCGATGTGACGAGGGCAGACGCAGGCGAGCTGCTGCTGGCGGAACTGGACGGGTCAACACACAGATTGGGTCAACACACGTTCCCAGGAGCATCGAGAGGAGGAGGAAGCAGAATGATGCGGAGGTGGAAGAGGAGGAGGAGGAGGAAGAGGAGGAGGAAAAGGAGGAGGAGGGGGAGGAGGAGGCGGAGGAGGAGGAGGTAAGGAGAGGAGGAGGAGAGGGGGAGGAGGAGTAGGAGGAGTCG